AAATAATTTTGGAACATTTCTCTCAAATCTAAAAACAATACAGTCTACGTAACAAAGAGGTTTTCCTCTTTTATTAAGAACAAAAATTAATAGACTCAAGAAAAAAGGAAAAGAAAGAACAAAAATTTCAGCTCTGACAAATATAAATGACTAAAATTCTTCTATTAAAAAGTAAAAGCTCTCAGAGTGGTATTTTAAAATGAAATAAAAATTCTGACTCATGCTGCTTTCAAGTCACATGCCAGAAACAAGTATCTGAACGGTCATAAAGAATATTGTGGGTAACAAACCAAAAAATGCATACAAAAGGAAAAGCATGAAATATTATTAACACTGGGTCATTCTGCAGTGAAGAATTTAATCTGCTCCCAAAAAGGACAGGCCACTGCCTTAGGCTCCAGGGAGATAACCCCTAAACTCCAGGAATGCCTTGCCTGATGAAAGTGCCCTGGGCCACACCCAGTAGTGTAACAGTGTGACTGACAGCCAGGGCTTGGGATCACTGGGAATCGCTTGACTGGGTAGCCAGCGACCAAGGTCAGCCATAAGGACTACTGACCTGTGTGCGTGACAGTGCCCCAGTAAAGACTCCGGGCACAGAGGCTCAGCCGGCTTCCTCACACCATACACTGTCACCGGGAAGGTCACGACCAGCTCCCAGTTCCTGTCCCGCGCACCTCTTCCTTGGGTGGTACAATTACAATTTCGCCTTCTCTGTGAAATAAGCCACAGCTGTACCCAAAACATTACTCAGTGAGCGAGTTCTGTCAGCTCTCCCAGCAAATCGCAAAAGCTGGGCATGATTCTGGAAACAGCTTCTCATCCGCAAGAACCCGAGCCATCAAAGCTGCAAATTACACACACGCTTAGCATTCAAGGAAAAGCTTTCAGACTCGGGACTGAAGGGGGCCTGTCTGCCACGTATATAAGTGACCTGGATTTCAGCAAAACTGGTCACGCGCTGATAGCACATTATCGAACAGAGCGTCCTCTCCTCTCCTCTCATCTGCGGCACAGTCACAGGAAGCTGACATATCTTAGAAACAGTCTCTGTTCACAATCCTGTGAAACTAGAAACTCACTAAAAATCTTCTAACAACTACTAAATTGAAGAAAAAATTAAAATGGCAAGTTTTAAAATACAAAAGAAGTCTACACTAAAGAATGAGTGTTTAAACAATAAGGTAGAAGATACAAATAAACGGATAGTGAAAAGGGTTTATACCATGAATCTTAAGTGATTTCAAAGTTATAAGGCAGTGCTAAAAAAAGAAAACATTGATGAAATAGAGAACTACAAGGGGAAACCAAACTGAAATAAAGTGCAGAAAACAGAAAATTTAAAAGTATGTGTGTGTAGCCACATATTTAGATACATATATTATCTATTACATATATGTATATATCAACTACCAGTACTCACCCCTCCCCCCACGTCACAGACCCACCGCAGGGTCTCTGTAGGGGGACGACCACATACTAATGGCCTCCGGGAGATGATCAAATAGTTTGCACAAAGTACTACCTGCAGCCAAACACATTACAAGTCCCAGATAACAAGTCCAAGCAGTACAACGGAGAGAAAAGTAAATGATAGCAGGAGGAAAGAGACCAGCCAAACCCAAAGGGCGGGATATCCTCTAGCACACACGGCCTGTGTCTACGACAGGTCAACGGCACAAAGAAATGAGACAGGCCAGGGGAGGCAGGGAGCTGCTCTAGCTCCAAACCGGCAAAGAGACTGAAAAAGCAAACGAAAAGCCTGGCCTTTATTTGATCTTAATTTGGACAGATCAACTATAAAAATGAAAATCTGGGGACCGGCATTGTGACGTAGCATGTTAAACTGCCACATTCAACACTGGCATCCCATATGGGTACCAATTCGAGTCTTGGCTGCTCCACTTTTGATCCAGCTCCCCGTTAATGCAACTGGGAAAGCAGCAGAAAATGGCCCAAGTGCTTGGGTCCCTGCACCCACATGGAAGACTTGGAAGAAGCTCCTGGCTCCTGGCTTCAGCCTGGCCCAGCCACTGCGGCCATCTGGGGAGTGAACCAGCAGGTGGAAAGTCTGTCCCTCCTTCTCCCTCTGTAACTCTGCCTTTCAAAAAAATAAAACAAACCTTAAAAAAAAAGAAAGAAAATCTGAGGATAACAGGAGAAATTTAAATATGAACTGGGAAGCAGATGATGTTGAAGAACTATTACTAATTTCGCCAGCTGTGATATCATATTGTGGCTGTGTAGGTAAGCGTCCCTATTGAGGCACTTGTGCTAAGGTACACAGCAGAGAAATGCCACACTGCTTGAGATCTGTTTTAAAACATCAGCAAACCCAACGATAAAAAATACTAATAAAGACATTATGGGGAGCATCAACAGCTGCTAACCCTAAGTGACATGGAGACGGACTATCCAAGGGTACTTGAAAAGGTTCACGGTAGGGGCCGGCACTGTGTGCAGTGAGCTATGCTGCCGCCTGCCAACACCAGCGTCTACACAGCTGCTCTGCTTCTGATCCAGCTCCCTGCTAACACATCTGTGAGGCAATGGAGGATGAAACCTGGACGGAGCTCCAGGCTCCTGGCTCCAGCCTGGCCCAGCTCCAGCCACTGCGGCCATCTATCACTCTTTCAAATAAATAAATAAATCTTTAAAAAAAAAAAAAGTTTGGGGCCAGAGCTGTGGCTTAGTGGGTAAGGTCACCACCTACAATGCTGGCATCTCACATGGGTGCTGCTGGTTCGAGTCCTGGCTGCTCCACTTCCAATCCAGCTCTCTGTTAAGTCCCTGGGCCCCTGTATCTGCGTGGGAGACCTGGAAGAAGCTCCTGGTTCCTGGCTTCGGATTGGCTCAGCTCAGGCTGTTTTGGGCCTTATGGGGAGTGAATCAGTGAATGGAAGACTTCTCCTCACCCCTCTTCTCTCTCTGTCTCTGGCTTTCAGATAAATAAATAATTATTTTTAAAAAGTTCATAGTAAATTGAATTAAAAGAAAATTTTACTTTAGTGCAACAAATGTGTAAATCCATGCATATGATTGAACTCTTTCCAATTTTACACATCTGAAGAAGTCTTTATTTTGCTTTTGTTTTTAAAAGGTATTTTCATGATGCATATTTTCTAGGTTAAGGGACAGTGCTTAGTGCTGCACTCTGTATTTTTATGGGGTATAGAAATCTAGGTTGAGGGGCATCCTTTATCAAGCCCCAGCTTTCAGAATGTCAAACTCTTCATAATAGAAAAGTAAAACAATTTTCACATGTAAGGCAAAAGACATTTCCAGACATGTAAGAATTCAATCAGCTCTTTCAAATTTTGAACAAGTCCACAGCCCACCAGGAGTTCATACACACACAGGAACACAGCTGTATGATTCTGCATAATACTAACACTAAGTGCCTGCCCAGCAAAGCATTTTCAAAAACTACAGATCAATCTCACTTAAGATAATTCTTGGAAAAAATTATAAAATGCTACTAATAAATCAAATGCTACTGTAAATAAGTATGATCATCCAGGAGAGGTTTTAGCTGAAGAAAATAGGTTTCTAACATATACAACTCTCTACCCGATATAATACCAGCTGTGCAATGTAAGCTAAGAAAAAAGACCAAAAGACGTACAGAACGTGTTACTGTGATCGTCTCTACCACGAAAGTAGCTCTTGCTAATCACTGAGCTATTCTGATACTTGTTATAATATGCATTTCCTTTTCACGAAAAAGCAAGCAAGCTGGATAAATGTGTTCTTATCTAAAGGCTTCAAAGTTACTATGTAGCCATTTTCAACAAGCCATGAAGTCACCTGCATGCGAGTTGTTGGTCAGCATTATCTTTGCTAACCTTCAAGTGTCCAGCATACTTATACTTGGGAAACATTAATAAGTGAGACTACACAAATGTAGTACAACAAACAAGACTCCTGAAGTGCGCCACAGGAGGCCACACACAGAACAAAGACCACAGACAAACGCAAATGTACATGTGGACACAAGCCTATTTTTCAAAAGGTCGAGGGAAAGGCCACATCTCCTCAAGTGCAATGACCTCATCCACAACACGACACCCATTTGTGCCGCCACTCGGCCGAGGAGGAGTCACCTCTACCTAACGCTGGGCTCTACACACCTCTGCTCAGGTTGTTCCTGCTGATGCAGCTTAACATTGACGAGTGCTAGCTTTGAGACAACAGGAAAGCGAGCGCAAAGACAGGCACCACGTGGGGAAGCAGGGCACAGCGGATTACCAGGGCCGAGCACCTGCTTGCTCTGCGCCCTTCTAGGCCTCCACATTTAACCCCCTACCTGCAAAAAGGAGCTGCGTCAGATACACGTTACCCCAGCACAGGTCCACAGCCGGGAGAGGGCGTTAAAAACAGTAATGAGATGTCTGTGGCTGAATGGAACGTGCATGTCCTTCTGAATGGAATAGGTGCAGCCTCTTGATACACAGAGTTACAGGTACTCAGCTCACAAGACCTGGGGTACTAAAGCTATAAGCAACAGCAGCCTTCACTGAGATGGGTAAAGCCACGACACTTCTACTTCGTTAACTTCCCTCACGACACGGACGATGGCACAGACCGCGGTCAGCTCAATCCGTCCATGTGTGCGGGAGGCCAAACACACAAACGGTCACATTTACAGAATCGATGAGATGTGCAAGACACGGAGGGCTGTACAAGGATTTTAAGAACTGAAGAACTGTACCCGCTGTGATCTCACTTCTTATCAGCCCTGGAGCCTGGGCATCGTGGGAGAGGTAGTCTCCCGTTTCACACATGGAAGATGGGTCAACGAAAGCAGCAGAGACAAATATTTGAAGTACCGAGCCTTCAAAGAGATTCCAGCCTGGGCCGCAACAAATATTTATGGCACATTTTAGTCCCCACTTTTATAAATACAGACGGAGCGCGGCAGCCTGTAAACGCGCCGGGAGCACGGTGTCGGGTGTCCGCAGGGAGCAGGGGCTCCGCTGATGGCTCGGCGGATCGCCTACCTGAGAGGGCGTCCTGCGCCTCAAAGAAGGTGCTGAGCCCGCCCTTCACGCAGGCCAGGCTGCCCTCGCTCTTCTTGCTGGCCTGCCGCTTGAGGTTGGCCACTGCCATCTTGAGCTGCTCAAAACTGAAACGAAACAGAGAAACTGAACGTCACTGCGAAAAGCAATCAGACAGACCATTACGTGGGAAGCTCGGAGCATCCAGCCAGATGAAAACCAAAAGCTTTCAGATTTTCACCTCCATCTCAGCCTTTCATGTACTATGCCCGTTTAAAGCTCAACTGCCCTCAGACGGTGACTGCCAACGTGTCAGGCCCCTAGGAAGTAAATGCAGACATAGCTATTTCATGGCCCACATGTGATGTTTGTGACTTGTAACAGAGAGGGTTTTAACTCACTGACGGGCAGATTTTTTTAAACACTTATTTTACTTATTTGAAAGGCAGAGCTACAGAGAAAGAGGGGGACAGACAGAAAGAGAGGTCTTCCATCCTCTGGGTTAACTCCCCAAATGGCTACAATGGCTGGAGCTGGGCCAGTCCAAAGCCAGGAACCAGGAGCTTCCTCCAGATCTCCCACTTGGGTTCAAGGGCCGAAGGACTGGGGCCATCTTCTACTGCATTCACAGGCCACAGCAGGGAGCTGGACCGGAAGCAGCACAGCCAGGACTCGAGCCGGTGCCCACAGAGGATGCCAACACTATAGGCGGCAGCTTCACCCACTACACCACAGCACGAGCATGGGCAGATATTAAAGACGGCACTTCTCTGCACAGGCACTGAAGGACTGTGGGTAATTAAAATAATAACAATGATGATCATGATGACAATGATAATTAGAATGTTAGTCTCACTACATTAATATCCATTCCCCTGTTCTTAATCATAAAATCACCTAAAAGCTATGGGTTGATTCACACTTTAAATAACTGAGAAGACCAGAATATTTCATCTCTGGATTGCAGCGGGATGGGAGGGAGGAGGTAGGCCTCTGTGTTTCATAAGTTTGATTTCCACTTGAGCAAAGAAAATGTGGCTATAAAACCCTGAATACATTCCTGAGCACCACATGATGGCCCAACACGGAAAGCGGACAAATTCTGACACAACTGTCAAAAAAGCACAGCCAAATACACAAGCAGGACCATCTACTATGATGAAAACTTCATGTAGACATTTGCTTTACAAATTCATCAGCCCAAATTTATTATATATATTAAAATACCAACTTTTCCTACATTTTCCCATGGTAGTTTTCATCCTGTTGAGTGAATTAAAAATTACATTAAGGCACCGTGGTGACACCAGTGAAAATACCCACACCATTCCTGCTAATGCACACCACGGGAGGCAGCAAGTGATGGCTCCGGTGTTTGGGCCCTGCCACCCACGTGGGAGACTCAGACAGAGTGCCCAGCTCCTGGCTTTGGCCTAGCCCAGACCCAGCTGCTGTAAACATTTGGAATGGGATATTCTCTCTCTTTCTCTTTCCCCTACCCCTCTTTCCATCTTTCAAATAAATAAAATACATTTTTAAACTATTAGTTGTATTAAGGTATATTTTAATATCCTGCTTCAGAGTCATGAGTAAAACGTGTCATCAGCACACTGCTGGTCCCTGCTGAATTATCCTCCTTGCCAGCTGTGAGGAGCTGTGACACAGAGGCGCCCCCCGGGCACTGTGTATGTGTGTGTGTGTGTGTGTGTGTGTCTGCCGCCTTTAGTCTGACGCACACCACTCCTGCTCTTCCGTGTAACGACATTTAAATGCTCACGAGGAAAACTTCACAGCACAGAAGTCTAAGAGCAGATGCTGCAGAGGAAAGAGTTCCTTCTCTTGAGACTCCAATCTTCCCACGACTTACACAGCCTCAGATTTCGCAGCCTGGTTCATGAATTTTAGCCTCACCTGCTGCACAGCATGTACGATTCCTCTCTCGGTGTTAATAACACTCTTGGTGTTAACATCTGACAGAAAGTTCTGCATTTTTCACATAGCTTGTTGCCCTGAGAAAGGGTTCATAGTACTTTTTTATTTAAATGAAGAAACAGTTACAGGAGAAAAAAGTTAACCTATCCAGAATGCAAACTTCAAGCTGTAAGCCAACGGCTTACCCACACTGTGGGGAGCAATCCGGACTAGACTGAGTTACTGGAATTAAGACTTATTCTATGCATCTGCTCTCCCACAATATGGCGCTGGGAGAGAAGTAAACAGCTTCCGCACAGCTGCCTCCAGTTCAACTAATAAACTGTAGGACTTGCTCCTGATTGGAGGAGAGCAGCGTACTCGGCGTGTGGGCAGCCGAGTTGGGATTGGCGGAGGAGGACTATAAAGGAGGAGAGAGACGGCATGCACAGGGACCATCTAAGGGGAACATCTGAGGGAACACCTGTGCAGCCCCCGAGAAAGCCGGCCGGCGGTGTGCCGCTCCCCTGTGGAAGTGGGGAATGTGGCCAGGGGGAACTGCCCTTCCACGGAGGTGGAAGGGATAGTAGCCAACCCGGGAAGAACCAGCAGCAAACCCGGGGAGGGCCGAGCAGACGAAAGAACAGCGCAGGGTCCTGTGTCGTTCCTCCACGAAGAGGGGGAGCGACATAATGGTGCCGTGACTCGGATATGAAGCCTAGGCAGGGCTTAGTGTCGTTCCTCCACGAAGAGGGGGAGCGACACACACGTGTTTTACTAACTGGAACTGCTTACCGGTGAGTCACAAGCAGTTCTTGGGGTGAACAGGTGAGCCGCGGTGAGCAGGCTCCATCTCAGACACACAGAGCGGCTCCTCCACCTCTTGGCGGTGCACAGAATGACAAGCCACCTCCCCTCTCCCTGCCCTGTGGCCAGGGAAGGCGGTGTGTCTGTAGTTTATACCAGAATTTAAAATTCTGGTGTTGGGGCCAGCTAGTGACACAGCTAGTAAAGCTGTCACTCGCAGTACCGGCATCCCATATGGGTGCTGGTTCAAGTCCCGGCTGCTCCACTTCCGATCCAGCTCCCTGCTAATGCACCTGGGAAAGAACTGGAAGCTGGTCCAAGTCCTTGGGCCCCTGCAGCCTGGCCCAGCCCCGACTGTTGTGGCCATGTGGGGAGTGAACCAGCAGATGGATAATTTTCTCTCTCTCTGCCGCTGCCTCTATGTAACTCTGTCTTTTAAACAAATTAATAAAATTCTGGTGTTATCTGAGTACAGAAAGATCACACAGCAGGCTGGGTCCCCAGCTGAGATGCAGAAGCCTAACGAGGTAATGAAAGGGCAAACATCACATGACCGTCGGGAGTACAAGCCTCCTGACAACCTCACATCACAAACTCGGACACAGACGCCTCAGACGCTCACAGGCCCCCAGCGCCAGAGAACTCAGGGGCTCGGGCCAGACCTGAGACTTGTTACCAACCACACGACCCCCAGCGGCCACCCACACCCACTGACCTGGTGGTTGAGTGGTTCTCGATGAGATACCAGGCAGCGGAAAAATTCTCACTTGTGAAATCGGCACTCATTCCATGGAACAGCATTTCCAGGTCTTTCTGTGGAAATTTACTCCTGAGGGGGAAAGGTTGAGAATACATTTCAACTATTGATGAATACAAACGAGTAACAGACATCACCAAGGACCTGAAGGCAAACTGCTGTATTACACAGGACGCTTCTCACATCATGACTGACTTCCTAGCAAGCCACCTTTGTGCACCTATGACGGGAAATTAGTTGAAATACAGAAATTACATCAATCAAAAAATTTAAGATTTAAAGAGGGTTTCAAACATAAGGCTGAGATTATGCTTTTATGAAACCTAACAAAATATGAATCGATTCCCCACTTGATGAATAAAAATCAAAATTTGGACATAGTGAAATTTAAAAACATTAGATCACTCTGCTAAAATGCCTTTTTATTAAAGACTTTTATGAGAGCTGTTTTAAGACATACTAATGTTGCTCCCCGTCTTCGTGGAGGAACGACACAGGACCCTGCGCTGTTCTTTCATCTGCTCAGCCCTCCCCGGGTTTGCTGCTGGTTCTTCCCGGGTTGGCTACTATCCCTTCCACCTCCGTGGAAGGGCGGTTCCCCCTGCCACATTCCCCACTTCCGCAGGGGAGCGGCACACCGCCAGCCGGCTCTCTCGGGGGCTGCACAGGTGTTCCCCTTAGATGTTCCTCTTAGATGTTCCTGGTGCATGCCGTCTCTCTCCTCCTTTATAGTCCTCCTCCGCCAATCCCAACTCTGCTACCCACACGCCAAGTACGCTGCTCTCCTCCAATCAGGAGCAGGTCCTGCAGCTTGTCAAGTTGGTGAGAGGCAGCTGGGTAGAAGCTGTTGCCTCCTCTCCCAGCGCCATATTGTGGGAGAGCAGATGCATAGAATAAGTCTTAATTCCAGTAACTCAGTCCAGTCCGGGTTGCTCCCCACAGATCCCCCTTTCTTTTTATTTTTTGGCGTTGATACGCACCTGTCTTCGGTGTCCTGCGGCACACACTCTGCTCTACTTGCTAGAGTTGCCCACAGGTGCTTACAAGTCCTATCAATCAGGCAAACCGAATCCGGGTCCTCTCTCCGCCATGTTGTGAGGAGGTTTTCAGCGCTGATGCGTGCCTGTGTTCGGTGCCCCGCAGCGCATGCTCAGCTCTGCCTGCAGGTGCTTACAAGCCCTATCAGGCAAACCGAATCCAAGCCTTCTCAGCGCCATATTGTGGGGAGGCCTATTGGTATTGATCCGTGCCTATCTTCGGTGACCTGCAGCTCATACTCTAGTCGAGCTGCCTGCTGGTGCTTACCGCCTTACTAATCAGGCAGACCGAATCCAAGCCTTCTCATTGCGGTATTGTGGGGAGACTATTGATGTTAATAACGTGCCTGTCTTCGGTGACCTGCGGCGCATAAGCTGCTAGCCGCCCACAGGTGCTCATCACCTCCCTAATCAGGGAGACCGAATCCAAGCTCTCTCATTGCCATGTTGAGGGGAGGCTTTATTTTTCTCTATATCTCCGGGCATTCCTATCTCTCCCATTTTACGTCTATCTACCAGCATTCCTATTTCTCTCATTTTACTTCTAAACTTCTGTTTCTCTTATCCCTGCGGCTTCCCGGCGCCCGCCCCAAGGCTGCTTCTCGGCGGCTTCCCAGCTGAGCCGCTTCAGCCCGCTTCTCTTATCTGCGCGGCTTCGCGGCTCTGCGCGGCTCGGCTTCGCGCACACACTCCGCGGTCTCGCACTAGCCCCGCGTTCCCTATCTACTTGTGCCCCGCATGCTCTCTCTGCGCGCGGCAGCCTCCGCGAGTCACACAGCGTAGCTTACGTCTCCGCCACTAGCATTCAATCTAAGTTCCCCAGGCTAACCTGGCGAATTCAACCCAGCTCACGTTTCCGTTTCTGGTTTCAACTCTTCGCCCCCCATTCCCGGGCTAACTTGAGAATCCCAAAGTGGCTTTCGTCTCCGCCTCGGCCTGCCCCCGCAGCTTCAATTTCCCTAACATTTTTCTCTACCCGGTATGTTTCCCCAAGCTTTCCTCCAACAATACTCCTCCCTCATTTCTCCTGGCCTCTCCCCACAGTCCGCATCCGAGTCTGTTTGTTCTAGCTTTCACTTTGGCTGAAGTCTTGTTTGGTTCTAGCTTTCACTTTGGCTTTCGACCTTAGAGATTTCTCCCAGCTTCCCCCTGTAGTCCGTATCTGAGTCTATGCCTAGGCTTTCAATAGCTTCTTCCGGCACCTTTTTCGTCCGCCTTTTCCCTAGGCTGTTTGCTAGTCTCTCTCTCTGATATTTTCCACTTCTTCCCGTTTCTTCCCTCCTAAGTTTCCTATCCGAGTCACGGCACCATTATGTCGCTCCCCCTCTTTGTGGAGGAACGACACTAAGCCCTGCCTAGGCTTCATATCCGAGTCACGGCACCATTATGTCGCTCCCCGTCTTCGTGGAGGAACGACACAGGACCCTGCGCTGTTCTTTCATCTGCTCGGCCCTCCCCGGGTTTGCTGCTGGTTCTTCCCGGGTTGGCTACTATCCCTTCCACCTCCGTGGAAGGGCGGTTCCCCCTGCCACATTCCCCACTTCCGCAGGGGAGCGGCACACCGCCGGCCGGCTCTCTCGGGGGCTGCACAGGTGTTCCCCTTAGATGTTCCTCTTAGATGTTCCTGGTGCATGCCGTCTCTCTCCTCCTTTATAGTCCTCCTCCGCCAATCCCAACTCTGCTACCCACACGCCGAGTACGCTGCTCTCCTCCAATCAGGAGCAGGTCCTGCAGCTTGTCAAGTTGGTGAGAGGCAGCTGGGTAGAAGCTGTTGCCTCCTCTCCCAGCGCCATATTGTGGGAGAGCAGATGCACAGAATAAGTCTTAATTCCAGTAACTCAGTCCAGTCCGGGTTGCTCCCCACAACTAATGCCCAAGAAATCCTAAGAATATCAATAAAGCTAGACCCAAGTAAGCAGCATTCACATTTACATGTCCACATCTAGGATGAAGTTAAGAAAAGCTTGTGGTAACAACATGGCATACACCATCTGCAACTCCCTTATCTTGTCCACAACTTTAAGATCAACTTCTAGGGGCTGGTGCTGTGGCGTGTTGGGTTAAGCTGCCACCTGTGACACCAACATCCCATATGGGCGCCAGTTCCATTCCTGGCTGCTCCACTTCCAATTCAGCTCCCTGTTAATGTGCCTGGGAAAGCAGAACAAGATGGCCTAAGTCCTTAGGCTCCAGCACCTACGTGGGAGACCTGGTTGGAGCTCCTGGCCCCGCCCTGGCCATTGCAGCCGTTTGGGAGGTGAACCAGCAGGTGGAAGATCTCTCTCTCTCTCTCTGCCTCCTCTCTTCTATGTAACCTTTCAAATAAATAAATAATCTTTAAAAACAAGATCAATTTTTAGTAAATTGACTGTCTTATGGGTCCAAACACTGAGTATCTACCATGGGTCAGGGCACAGGGGGACCCCAGATGTGTCTAAAAGTGTAAGCACCATGGCCGCCCTGCCGGCAGGCCTCACAAGCACACAGCGTGCGCTGCTGGCCCCGCAGCCCGGGCGCTGCGTGAAGTCCGAACCCCAAGCCAAGCGCCCCCAGAGCAGACCTGCTTCTCCCTCAGGACTCCCTGTCTCTCTACTCCTCAACCCTACAGCTTCAGCAGCCCAAGGCCACTACGCTTTCCAGTCCGCGCCCCTCTGCTCCCACTGTTCTTCCAGCCCGCTGTCCTTTCTGAGGCAAACCTGGATAACCAGCCAAGCCTAACCAGGGGCTGCACACAGCACATGATGCTGTTCAGCAGCCTAGTATCTTGCAGACTCATTCAGCGGTGGGCAGACGTCTACCGCAGGAGGAACGCGGAGGCCTCACGCCTTCCCTGCCCTCCCCCCCCGGAGCCTTGCGGCCCCGGCAGCACACAGTGAGCACCTCCACATGTGTGGCGTCGGAAGGGTTCAGATTCCTTCTGCTTCTTGGGGGAGGGGCCCAATCTCCATACAAGATTCATTTATGTTTCACATGCACTTGATAACCTAGTCTGAGGGCAACTGTAACTCTGTACATGGCACTGCGACAACACGTCAGTGCTCAACAAGTTTCAGATTTTTGAACATTTTAGATTGGATTCTTGGATTTGGGATACTCAACCCTCACAAGCACAGGCTCCGTCGGTAAGTAGGCAGCACAGCCCGAAGTCAAGAAGGTATCCTGGGGCCGGCGCTGTGGCACAGCAGGTAAAGCTACCACCTGCAGTGTCGGCATACCATATGGGCGCTGGACATTAAGTTATAATAAGGTACATTTTAATATCCTGCTTCAGACTAATGAGTAAAACATGTCATCAAAACACTGTTGGTCACTGCTGAATTATCCTCCTTGCCAACTGTGAGGAGCTGTGTGACACAGAGGCTTCCCCAGGGCTGCTCCTGTTCAGATCCAGCTCTCTGCTACGGCCTGGGAAAGCAGTACAAGATGGCCCTAGTCCTTGGGCTCCTGCACCCATGTGGGAGACCCGGAAAAGGCTCCTGCTCCCGGTTTCGGATCAGCGCAGCTCCAGCTGTTACAGCCATTTCAGGAGTGAACCAGCAGATAGAAGACCTCTCTCTCTCTCTGCCCCTGCCTTTCTGTAACTCTGCCTTTCAAATAAATAAATAAATCTTTGAAAAAACAAAAACAATGCATCCTTACCAGGGGCACCACTTTCCTTCCCATGCCCCAGCTAAGACCAACAACTGATAAGCTTTAACACTGAGCATATGTGAGTGGCGCAGACATCTTTTCATTTCATGACTGTTTATAGCCCTCACCCATATTTCTGCTGCACTACAGCCTCTTTAGTTTTTATCTGTTGAACTCATTTATTTAGTGGAGCACTATGTCTTTGTAAATGAAAATGTTATCGCCAAAACTTTAAATAGGAAAATAAAATGTTAAAAAATGGGAAGAGGGGACAGCCTTGTGGTGTAGGCACCAGTGGGAGTCCTGGCTACTTCAGTTCCAATCTAGCTTCCTCCTGATGCCCCTGGGAAAGCAGCAGGAGACGGTCCAAGTCCTTGGGCCCCTGCACTCACGTGGCTGACCTGG